GGGGAGGGTGTATGTAGGGAAACATGGAGGAGGGTAAGTATAGAGAAACATGGGGAGGGTGTGTATTGGGAAACACGGGGGAGGGTGTGTGTAGGGAAACATAGGGGGGGTCTATAGGGAAACATGGGGGAGGGTGTGTCTAGGGAAACATGGGAGAGGGTGTGTGTAGGGAAACATGGGGTAGGGTGTATGTTGGGAAACATGGTGGAGGGTTTGTATTGGGAAAAAATTGGGAGGGTGAGTATAGGGAAACATGGGGAGTGTGTGTATAGGGTAACATGGGGTAGGGTGTATGTAGGGAAACATGGTGGAGGGTTTGTATTGGGAAAAAATTGGGAGGGTGTGTGTAGTGAAACATGGGGGAAAGTGGGTATAGGGAAACATGGGGGAGGGTGTGTGTACAGAATTTTGAGTATAACATGGGTAATGGGAAACATAGGGAAGGGTGTGTATAGAGAAACATGGGGGAGGGTGTGTATAGGGAAACATGGGGGAGGGTGGGTATAGGGGAAAATGGGGAGGGTGTGTATTGGGAAACATGGCGGAGGGTGTTTTCGGAAACATGGGGGAAGGTTGGTATAGGGAAACATGGGGAGGGTGTGTATTGGGAAACATGGAAGAGGGTGTGTAGGAAAACATGGGGAAGGGTGTATATGGAAACATGGGGAGGGTGTGTATTGGGAAACATGGGGTAGGGTGTGTGTACGGAAACATGGGGGAGGGTGGGTATAGGGAAACAGGGGGAGGGTGTGTATTGGGAAACATGGGGGAGGGTGTGTGTAGGAAAACATGAGGAAGGGTGTATATGGAAACATGGGGGAGGGTGTGTATTGGGAAACATGAGGGAGGGTGTGTGTAGGGAAACATGGGGGAGGGTGGGTATAGGGAAACAGGGGGAGGGTGTGTATTGGGAAACATGGAGAGGGTGTGCATAGGGAAACATGCGGGAAGGTGTGTATAGGGAAACATGGGGATGGTGTGTAGGGAAACGTGGAGGAGAGTGTGTGTAGGGAAAATTGTGTGAGGGTGTGTATAGGGAAACACGGGGGAGGGTGTGTAGAGAAACATGGGGAGGATGTGTAGAGAAACACGGAGGAGAGTGTGTATAGGGAAACATGGGGGAGGGTGTGTGTAAGGAAACATTGGGAAGGGTGTGTGTAGGGAAACATGGGAAGGGTGTGTAGAGAAACATTGGAAAGGGTGTGTAGGGAAACATGCGGGAGGGTGTGTAGAGAAACATGGGAGAGGGTGTGTAGGGAAACATGGGGGGAGGGTGTGTGTCAAGAAACATGGAGGAGGATGTGTAGGGAAACATGGAGGAAGGTGTGTATTGGGAAACATGAGGGAGGGTGTGTGTAGGGTGTTACGGACCCGGATCCAGCGTCCGAACACGGAGCAGTGACGACCGCGCCATCTGTGGGTCAGCTCCCGAAACCCCCTCCAAATGGACGACGCTATCTAGTGAGGACGAGATATACCGGCCACAAGGGATAGTTTCCCGTCCTAATCAGCTCATAACACAGCTGCTGCTGACCTCTGGTGAGGTGACGCTTAGACAGCAACGCCATCTATGGAGTGGATAGGTGGGCGTTTGTGTCTAAGCCTGTAAGTGAGGTGCCCTAGGGTGTCCCTAGTACTGATGACGTGTCTGATTACAGAGTCGACCTGGGACTGCTGTAATGGAAGTTGGATCAGTCTACCCAAGGCAGCCGTAGAACCTCCATGCATTTGCTGCTGAAGCTGTGAGTCACCCCCCGGATGAACACTGTTGTGTTAGCCTGCCCGTGAGGTGGCAGAACCAGGGATTGTCGTACCCGTGGCTGACTGGTGGAGAAGACTAGCCACTGGGGTGTTGTGGTGAGGAGAGTGATCTGTGAAATCACACGAGGCTCCTGCCTAGGGCTCGCAACCCTAGTATCGGTCGTGGAGTGGCCTAACCAGCGGAACTGATTGGAACCTGCCAGCTACAGGCTGGATTTGTGGTTGAAGGCCTCCACGACGGTGCCCCCAGTGGAATTGTGATTGGGCTGGCCTGTGGCCAGGGTAGACTCGAGAGAATCGAAGGATTCATCGTGAGGCCACAAGAGGACCAAGGGCTAAGCATCGTTGAGCACTGTGGAACATTCCTGCGTCTTCAGAGGAAGACCATATTGTATATTATAGTGTTTATACCCCCCGTGTGATAATTTAAATATTTATTTATTGGTGATGGTTTAATAATATATTAAGTTTAGTGTAATTGTATCCCTTCCCCCTTAATTTACTTGCGTTACGGAACACACCCCTTGAAAGCCACTACTAGCTTGGGGCCGGATACCCTAACTCTACTAACATCAGAGAAAGAACCCAGTTGCGACCCAAGAGGGCCGTAACATAATTGGCATCCCCAGCGGGATCCGACCCCTTGTCAAGTATGTTTGACAGGGGTGGTGAAGTGGCGCAATCCCTGTAAATAATTCCCCCTGTGTGTGACTATTAGGACGTTATACGTCCTGTGCGGTGCTCGGAGTGATTCAGTGCAATATTGTAGAGTGCGGTGCTCGCTGTGATTAAGTGCAATATTGTGTAGTGCGGTGCCCGGTGTAATTACGTGCAATATTGGCAAGTGAGGCACTAGGTGCGATAAAGTGCAATATCGACGTAGAACAGTACTCGGTGCGTTAAGTGTTAACGTGAAAGCGGTGTGATAAGTGCTAGTGTTCCATCTCGGTGACAATGGCGGAAAAAGCGACCATCGACGATCTGGACGATGTTCAGGCTTTTCTGAACAGGGAGGACAGTCTCGCCAGATTAAAATATCTGGGGAAACAGGAACTTGTACTAGTGAGTGCTTACCTGGAGATCAAGATACGTGCCAGTGATTCCCGTGTGGAGATCTTGTCCAAGGTTCACCGGCATTTGAAGGCCGAAGAGAAAGAGGAAAGTGAGGCACAAGGTACAAAAGCAAGTGAGGAAGTAGCTTCCACTGAAAAGGAAGATAAGGGCAGTGACATTGATAGTGATGCAGGTGAGCTGAATATTAGCCTACTTACAGTAAAAATGCGTGCCTTGGAAATAAATCGCGAGATAGAATGGAAGAAGTTAGAATTAGAATGAGAATTAAAAGATAAAGAAATGGCGATGAGGCGTTTAGAATTAGAAGAAAGGAAAGAAGAGCGAGAAAGAGAAAGAGAAAGGGAAGAGCGAGAAAGAGAAGAGAAACGAGAAAGAGAAGAAAGAGAAAGAGAAGAGCGAGAAAGAGAAGAGAAACGAGAAAGAGAAGAAAGAGAAAGAGAAGAACGAGACAGACAAGAACGACGAGACAGAGAGGAAAGAGAGAGACAACATGAGCTAGAAGTATTGCGATTAGGTGGTCGGAAGCAAACAACGGACACAAGTATTTTCGATCCGGTGAGGAACATCAAAATGGTCCCGAAGTTCAACGAGAAGGAAGTTTCGAAGTTCTTTGCGGCCTTCGAGAAAGTCGCAGCCTCTTTGGAGTGGCCAAAGGAGAATTGGGCCATCATGATACAGTCCGTCTTGACTGGGAAGGCTCAAATCGCCTACTCCACGTTGTCCCTTGATGACTCTGGCGATTATGACAAGGTGAAGAAGGAGGTGCTCATGGCGTACCAATTGGTACCTGAGGCTTACAGGCAGAAGTTTAGGAACCTGAAAAAGACCTCGGAGCACACTTTCACCGAATTCGCCACCATCAAGGAGCGACTTTTCCAGGAATGGTGTGCCTCTCGGAAGGTGGAGACCAAAGAAGACCTCGAGCAGCTCATACTGTTAGAGGACTTCAAAGACTGTCTGTCTGGAGATCTAAAGACGTACCTAGAGGAACAGCAGGTTCCTAGAGGAACCTTGAGTGCGGCAGCCACCATGGCTGAGGAATACATCCTGACTCATAGGCCGTCTGCTAGGTATGTCCCGAAGACCTATTCAAGATATCCAGCCAAACATAAACCGGAGGATAAGACCGCCCCTCGTAGTGCCGCCAAGTCGACCCCAGATAGTCCTAGGAGGATTAGTCCAAAAAGGGACGTATTGTGTTGGACCTGCGGCAGGAGAGGACACATTGCTGCGAAGTGTCGTAGCAGTACAGGTAATAATCTCCGTAGGGAACTTATGCTGATAAACAGTATAGTACCTCCGACATCCTCCCTAGAGATGAGGAAAGAATTGTTGGCCCATATACTTCCCAAGGGTATGTAGCCAGTGGCCACTCGGGTAAGCCCGTGGTAATACTCAGAGACAGTGGAGCGGCCCAGTCTCTAATTTTAGAAAATTCATTACCCGAAGGTATATCGGCGAATGGGACACAGAAGGTAATCCTGGGTGGATTCCCTTCCACCTTGTACATTTCCCCTTTGGTACAGGTGCGTCTAGACTCTCAGCACTTCAAAGGTGAGTGTCGGTTGGCAGTGGTGGATAGTCTTCCCATAAAGGGGATTGACGTTATTTTGGCCAATGACTTAGCCCTAGGTTTGTTACCTAACTGTCCCGTAGTAGTGGAAGATCCAGTGTGTGACGAGACCAGTCCAATTGCGGCGGTACAAACAAGGTCTCAGGCTCAATTCCAGGCACCACCAGATTTAAGTACTTTGTTTGACTCTCCTCCTATCCCACAGATTACGAGTAGCCATACACCAGTCCCGCCCGTCCAGTTGCCGGTTCCTGAACACTGAACTCGAGCCCATCTGATAGAAGAGCAGAGGAAGGACCCTCAGGTACGGAAGTTGGCTAACACCCTAGACTCTCCTACGAAAGGAGGTGATCTGTATGTATGGTCAAGTGATGTACTGTGTCGCCGGCATCCTCCGAAATACCCCCAGTCAACTGAGGTGGGTGAGCAAATAGTCGTCCCAGCCGTGTTCAGATCTAAGCTGTTAGAGACGGCCCATGCCGATAGATTTGCTGGACATGGTGGGGTCTCGAAGACTTTCCAACGACTAGCCAAGTGTTTCTATTGGCCGCATATGAAGAAGGACGTACGTCGTTTTTGCAAAACCTGCCAGATGGCAGGAAAAGCAAACCAGCCTGTCCCCAAAGCCCCTTTATGCCCCATTCCATCCATAGGTGAGCCCTTCGAGCACCTCATCCTGGATATAGTAGGCCCGCTTCCGCCTTCTACCTCAGGGGTGCAGTATTTGCTCACTATACTAGTTCGGGTTAGTAGGTACCCAGAAGCGATCCCCCTTAAGACCATCACTGCTAAGGTCTTGGTGAAACATCTGCTCTGGTTCGTCTCGCGATACGGTCTCCCTAAGACCATTCAGACGGATCAGGGATCGAACTTTATGTCTCATTTGTTTCGCCAACAGATCGCCGACCTGGGAATCCAACAGATTACCTCCAGTGCCTACCATCCCGAGTCTCAAGGAGCTTTGGAGCATTTTCACCAGACGTTGAAGGGCATGCTTCGGAAGTTTTGCTATGACCGGCAGAGTAAGTGGGTTGAAAACCTGCCCTACCTCCTATTGGCGGTAAGATCAGTGCCCAATGAATCACTAGGAATCTCCCCATTCGAGATGATTTATGGTCACTCAGTAAGGGGTCCCTTAGAAGTGGCACGAGACCATTGGCTAGACAAGGAAACCAACGAAGACGCTGTGGACTGGTTGTCTACAAATAAAGGCCGGTTGTTCTCTGCGTGGGAAATGGCTACGAGAACCTTAGAGAGTACGCAAAAAACCACCAAGAGCAGGTATGATAAGAGGACCAAACAAAGAGACTTCCTAGTAGGGGATCTGGTTTTGGTATGTACACCTACAGTAACTGGAAGTTTGAGCGCCAGATTTGTAGGTCCTTACCAGGTCTTAAAGAAGGTTACTAATCACAATTACCTTCTTAATACTCCAGATCGCCGGAAGAAAGAAACTTTGGTTCATGTTAACATGATCAAAAAATATGAGGGTCGAGATACGCTCCCAATAACAATAGTGACCACTAAAGAGGACATTGAGGAAGAGGAAGAGGTATTAACTAACTCAGAGATTCTACTTAACTTGCAGGCCAAGTTGACACATGTGGCCGAAGGACACCAACCATCATTGCTGCAAATGATCCGAGAGTACAAGACTATCTTCAGAGATGTTCCAGGACTAACATCTGTCCTATGGCATGATGTCGTGCTGGAGGAAGGAGTCCGGCCTATAAAGCAACACCCTTACCGACTCAACCCCCTGAAGGAAAGGGTGGTGAAAGATGAGGTTGAATACATGCTGAAACACCATCTGATAGCCCTGAGCTCGAGCCCATGGTCATCCCCGATACTATTAGTGCCCAAACCTGGTAAGAAATACCGTTTTTGTATTGATTATCGCCAGGTGAATAAGGTCACAGTAGCGGATACCTATCCTCTCCCCAGGGTAGAGGAATGTCTCAATGCCATAGGTAAAGCTCGTTACCTGACTAAATTTGACCTGTTCAAGGGCTATTGGCAAGTTCCCCTCACGGAGAAGGCCAAACCCATATCGGCGTTTGTGACTCCCGACGGGCTGTTTGAATGTCAGGTGATGCCATTCGGGATGAAAAACGCAGCCTCCACCTTTCAGAGGCTGATGGGCATTGTGTTGCGTGATGTGGAAAACACCTTGATCTACATTGATGATGTATTAATATATGATGTTGATTGGCAGGATCATCTACGTCACATAGAGGATTTCTTCAAGGCCATGCTCCAGTCGGGATTGGTGGTCAACCTACACAAATCCGAGTTTGCCAGAACCTCTGTCATCTTTTTAGGTCATAAGGTTGGAGGAGGATGGATTGCGCCAAAGGCCAGCTAGGTAGAGGCAATAGTCCAGTATCCTACACCAGCCACCAGGAAGGACATCTTGCGTTTCCTCTGTATGGCTGGTTTCTACCATAAGTTTGTCCCTAACTTTTCCTCCATCGCCGCCCCCCTGACAAATCTTTTGAAGAAGGGGGTAAAACTATTGTGGAATGAGAATTGCCAGCGAGCCTTTGAAAGTCTAAAGGCAATTCTAATCTCTTCTCCGATCCTCAGGTCCCCGAGTTTTGAGGATAGATTTATCCTGACGGTCGACGCTTCTGACTATGGCCTGGGGTCAGTACTATCTCAGACGGATGAAAATGGGGTAGAACATCCTGTAGCCTACTATTCTAAGAAGTTTACCCCCAGTCAGCTCAACTATTCCGTCATAGAAAAGGAAACATTGGCCTTAATTAGTTCAGTTCAACACTTTGAGATATACCTAACAAGTAATAATCACCTATATTAGTACGAACTGACCATAATCCTCTAAAGTTTCTTGCTCAGTTTAGGCAAAAGAACCTCAGGCTCACCAGATGGAGTCTACATCTGCAACAATATCCCCTCCAGATCGAGCACATCAAAGGAGTGGATAACGTGGTAGCTGACGCATTGTCTCGCATCTAGACCATTGACTAATTTGGTTCGTTTCCTTTGTTTTATAAAAGCCCAAACCAAATTCCTTTTAGTGGGGAGGTGTTACGGACCCGGATCCAGCGTCCGAACACGGAGCAGTTGTGGGAAATTTTTACCCACCATATCTAATTATTATCTAAGAAATGTATAATTTCTGTATCATATCAAAATCATATCTAAAATCATATCAGAATCATTATAGATTCATTATACAATTTGATCCTAGAAGATAATGCCACTTGGATCCTGTACGCATAGGGCCCTATAGATGCCTATGTGACTTTGTGCATGATCTCTTATGGATCCAGAAACTTCTAGAAGGATTTTATAACTAAAAAATTATTGGAACATTGATTCAATATCCGGTAGGGATAAAAATCGAATCCTTAATAAGAATCAGTGGTACTATCAAGTACTACTTATAAGCTTTATATCCTATATCAAATTATACTATAATTACAGCTTATCTCAATCATAAGTCTAGACTGTAAAAATAATCAATCAATATTCATAGAAGACTTCCGTGCTCGGGGAGCATGGGAAGGGATCTGGGTGAGAAGCGCCCACGAGAGCCGAGGAGGACCGCGCGTTTGTTGACGGATCCTTAGCGAACATTGCCAGCTCAAGGACGCCTTATCTAATATCTTTATCACCAGTGAACACTCTCTAGAATTGGAGGAGTACCTGGACAATATCTACAAGGAAAATCCTAGAACATTTATATAAAATAGGAGTGTATAGTGGAGCTCATAGTGACACGGTTTCCACCACCTTCATTCCTAATCTTCAGCAACTATCATTCTTCTGCAACTGCAGGGTCAATCACGTAGCAATGCTACCAGTACATCATACAGCAACGCTGTGACAAAATATCGTGCCTAAACTCAACAAGAGAGAGTTAATCTATCTGGCACCTTGTCAGACAGGCACCCTGACTGGCTGAGAAGTATATTGAAGGTTATTTGGTATATGATTGGCCAATTGTATGCTTGTGTGACTTTAATATTCTATAAATCTGTCTGTTGGTTAAAAAGCGAGGCTAAGCCTCACATTTCAGTAAGTTTATTAATATTGTAGATGAGCAGCAGGTCCTTGTCCAGGCACTAAACCTCATGAGTGTCCAGTTGTCAGAAAAAGATTCAGTCACAATGCGTAAATAAAGTCTCATGAGTGTCCATTGTGTGGAAAAAGATTCAGTCAAGCTGACTACATAATCATATAAATTGAATATAAATATGTCTGCATATATATTTGAATATATAAATAAAGTTAACAATTGCTTGCTTAGTTAATTTATAAGTTATCATACAAGTTCATTTAATTGAATAATATCTAGTACTTAGTTAAGTGCTTAGACTATAGCACTGCCACGACTCTTGATCACATCTGGACAAATATAACCTCTCCGCTTACTTCAGGTATAATCACCGATAGCACTACAGACCATTACCCCACATTTCTCTTAACTAACATTAGCAAACCACCTCTTGAGTCAAGAGAGATACGTTTTAGACTACACAATGAAACTGCTATAGACAATTTTATAACTGCTACTGATAATGTCAACTGGGAGTCCGAGTTAGGTAACATAGAGGACATCAACCTAGCAGTTCAATCTTTTCTTCAAATAACTCTTAGCCTTTATAATACCCACTGTCCTATGCTTACAAAACAAGTCACAACCAAAAGGCTTAACAATCCCTGGCTTACAAAGGGAATACTTAAATCTATTAATAAAAAACATGACCTTGAGAAAAAGTATAGGTTAGGGATTGTCTCCAAAGAATTCTCAAAGAATTACTCATTATTGCTATCTAAGATAATTAGACGAGCCAAAACTAAATACTACGAAGATAAATTTACCCAAATAAAGAGCTACATTAAACAAACATGGAGAACAATTTCACAAATATTGGGATCAAAGAAGTCTTTAAATAACAAACCGACTCTCCTGTCTAATAACGATGGTCAGCTTTCAGCCTCTGATTCTGCTATTGAGTTCAATAGGTTCTTCTCTTCCATTGGGTCATCCCTTGCTAATGATATTCCATCTTCCAGTACTGACATTAAGGACTATCTTACAGGGAACTATCCCCAGTCTCTGTACCTAAAGCCTATTAATTCCACTGACGTCAATGAGATAATCCTTTCCCTTAAAACCAAGTCTGGTGCCCTTGAGGAGATACCAACTTTAATCTACAAAAAAGCCTCCAGATCTTTAGCCCCTGCTATTGCTTTGCTCTTCAACAAGTCACTTGAACTCCAAACCTTTCCAGATATTCTAAAAAATGCGAGAGTAACGCCTGTCCACAAATGTGGTGATCTCACAGATGTTAACAACTACAGACCTATATCAATCCTGCCAAACTTGTCAAAAATTTTTGAAAAACTAATCTATAAGCAGCTTTACTCATATCTAGCCAAACTCAATATACTTAGCCCTTGCCAATATGGCTTCAGGCCCAAAAAAAGCACTAACGATGCACTTATTAGTATGCTTAACTCGATTCATACAGCTCTTGATAAAAATGAGTTCCCTGTTGGGTTATTTGTGGACCTGCGTAAAGCTTTCGATACTGTCAACCACCAAAACCTTCTTCTTAAATTACATCATTATGGTGTCAGAGGACACTCCCTACAATACCTCAAATCCTACCTTACTGACAGGCTCCAATGTGTTTCTGTGAATAATACAATTTCTCCCACCCTACCCATCAACATTGGTGTTCCCCAGGGCAGCATACTTGGCCCTCTCCTCTTTCTCATCTACATTAATGACCTTCCAAATGCCTCCCAACACCTCAAACCAATCCTATTTGCTGACGACACAACCTTCATTTACTCCAGTCCTGATCCCCTTGCTCTAAATGCCACAGTAAATACTGAGCTAAATAAAGTCCATCTGTGGCTAACTGCCAACAAACTCACCCTTAACATTGACAAAACTTTCTATATTCTGTTTGGCAATAAATCCTCTAATCAAATAAATCTCAAAATAAACAATACCCAAATTTGTAACAAATTAGATGGCAAATTCCTTGGCATTCTCATTGACCACAAGCTGAATTTCCAGGGACACATTCTAAACATATCAAAAAAAGTTTCAAAAACTGTGGGCATTCTTTCTAAGATCAGATATTATGTACCACGCCCTGCCCTGGTGACTCTCTATTACTCCCTTATCTATCCATATCTCAACTATGGTATTTGTGCTTGGGGCTCTACTACCCAAAATCACTTACGTCCTCTAATTACTCAACACAAAGCTGCTATTAGGACAATATCCAATTCTGGCCCCAGACATCACTCGGTACCCCTATTCAAATCCCTGAATATGTTAGACATTAAGTCACTGCACATTCTCTCATGTGTAGTATACATATACAAAACGCTAAATTGTAATGCCAATCCTGATCTCAAAAGCTTCATAGAAGGTTGTAACAGAACCCATGAGCACCACACCAGAAATAAAAACAGTTTTGATATTCCTAGAGTACGACTTAATCAAACCAGAAATGCTCTACAAATCAAGGGTCCCAGGATGTGGAATGACCTTCCCAACCATGTTAAAGACAGTTCCTCTCTCAACCAGTTTAAGTTAAAAACGAAGCTTTACCTAATAAATTCCCTGTAACCTACCTTACCTCTCTATTGTCAACCCATGTATGTTTTTTGTTTTACAAATCAACGCTGTTTTAATGTAATTTTCTGTAATAATTTGTAATTGTATTTGTGCTGTTTTTTCAACAATGTTCCCCCCTCTTTTACCTCTATTTTTATTTGTACTCAACGCATTTTTTTCTTTTTACCCATTAGTTTTAAGCTTTAGTCAGTAGTGTTTTTTCCTGCCCGAAACGCTTTGCGTAATAGTGGCTTTAGGCATTGTATGTACTAGCTCTTATCTATTAAGCCAATAAACTTTGTAAAATCTCTTTATGTATGTACCTTTGCCTAAATAAAAATTATTATTATTATTATTATTATTATTACTACATTTAAAGTCATTTATTATACTTTTGCAATTTAATTTGTTTATAGTATAAGAACCTAATGGCTGTTAGTTATGGTGCTAGGTTAGACTATGTATGTTTAAATCTCTGATTTAAACAGAGCCAGTGTTCAGTCATATAACTGAATTTATCAAATCTTATCCTTGTATAATATACAAGCTGATGTGAGATCCCTGTCTACAGGTGGACTGGAACTTCTATCAACTAATCCATTCATCCCACCTGTCCCTTACAGCCCACAATCTATCATTAGGAAAAGAGGAGCTAGGATTTACGACCCTAGCTAGAGATTCTTGGAATTAATTTGCAGACAGTAATTTTTTAATTTAGTTCAGTCCAATTCTCTAGTAGTCTCCTCTTATATCAA